CCTTTGGCAGGGGGTGGGAGTGGGGTTCTAAATTTCCACATAAACCCCATTCTCCCATGTCTTCTTGCCTTCCTTTTCTATGCATCAGTGTCTCCTTTTCCCTTCCTTACATTGCCCTTACCTCCCTGCATTTCTACCTTTCTTTCCCCTCTTCAGGCTTTAGAAGTGAGGCCACCCCTAGACCTGTTCCCTTCAGATGAGTAGGAGCTATACTTCTTTTGAAATCTGAGACCGCTACTGCTAAAGGGAAGGATAGAGGAGTAATGATGGAGAAGGAAAATGTGCCACAAGGGGAAAAGAGGGAGAGAGAGAATGAAAGTGAAGCAGGGGGAAGCCTGCCACTGCCTATACCCCTGGGGCAGGCACAGAAGATACGTGCCCCCTCCCACAATCTGTGCTGTGTGTGGGGCAGAGATGGCTGCTGCTGCGGGCTGAGCTTAGTGCCCCAGGAGCTGCGCGATACCATGTACCTCCCATTGCTGGGCAGGTGGCGCAACCAGCATGCAGGAGGCACGTGGCGTTGCGTGGCTGCTGGAGCACCGTTAGTGGGGTGCAGAGTTCAGCCTCCAGCGGCAGCTGCTTCTGCCCCACACAGATTGGAGGGGCACCTGTGCCACCTGTGCCTGCCTTGGGGGTGCACACAGTGGCAGGAATCCCCCCCCCCTCCCCCACAGCTCTCAATGAGCCACCCAGGCAGCGAGCATCCCACAACCTGCCCCAGCCCTGGGGCCCCATTCACCCCAGCCCCTGCCCCTGTCTCTGCCCCACTCCCTCCCTCACTGTAGGGGCCTCAATCTGCACCCCACAACAGACTTACTTGCTGGGGGGGAGGGTGGAGCCAGCACTCAAGCCCCCCAAATCAGATTTTTTTCCTTTGCCTATAGCACACGCTGTCTAGAGAAGTTGTGGGATCTCTGTCCCTGAAAATTTTCAAGAGCACTTTAGACAGACACTTGGCTAGGATGGTTTAGTCAAGGATTATCTTGCCTTGAGCAGGAGGCTAGACTCAATGAACTCATGAGGTCCCTTTCAGCTTTACTTTTCTACGATCCTATGATTATCCCAGGGTTTGACCTAGATTAAAACAGGTGTGGCTTAGTCATTTAGGGCCCTGGCACATATTACATATATGGCACAAATACAATGTTAATTGCACCATAAATGGCAACGGTGTTACACATTCATCCAACTGAAGTCACCATAAAATGACAAACCAGCCATAAACATGTTCCACATATAATGGAGTTGGTCAACAGCTACTTTGCTTTGGTTTTCACAAAAAAATTGGATGCAAGCAGATGGCTAAAAAGGATTATGTGGACAAGGAAGGGGAGAGGCTGATGGACGTGATAATGAAAGAAACATTCAGGGAGCTTTTGATCAATCTGAATGAATTAAAGTCAGCAGAGTTGATTAACTTCATCCCAGGGTACTGAAGTATCTGACAGAATGCCCTAGGTCAGGGGTGGGCAAAATGGCAGATCCAGCTGGTGGCTAGAGTCCATTTCCCAGCAGCCCCAGCTTGTGTCACTGTGGCTGTTTTTCATGGAGACCCCAATCGCAGTGGTGCCGTGACAAGATGGGGCCAGGGTTTCCATGGAAACCAAGCCCAGCAGTGTTAGCAGGGAATGTGTCTGGGAAGGGAGCTGCTCCTGGCTGGGGCTTAGATCTTGCAGTAGTGACAGCGTGGTCTGGAGCCAGGGCAGAGCTGCGATCTGCTGCCCGCACACCCCCAGCACCCATTTTCGCCCTCCCAGATCTCAGGGGTGTGGGCAATGGATCGCAGCTCTGCCCTGACTCCAGACCATGCTGTCATTGCTGCAAGATCCCACCCCGGAGCAGGTCCCCACCCAGCCACACATCCTGCCAGCGCTGCTGGAGCTGGTCTCCAGAGAAACCCTGGCCCTGTGTTGTCACAGCACCACTGTTACTGGGGTCTCAATGGAAAGCAGCTGTAGTGATGTGGGCAGGGGCTGCTGGGAAATGGAGTCCACCGTGGGCCTAATCTGCTCTGTCGGCTGGACTTTGCCTGCCCCTGCCCTAAGCTATTATATTT